AAACACCTAGCTTCTATTTTCCTGTCAAAAAAAGATGGCAGGTCGGTGTGCCTGTAAACAATGCAGTTATGAAATGGCAGGAGCCCCGGCGAGCTGAGCATGCTCAGAATCGGCCGGTAGGGGGAGGTGGTTTGAAAGAGATGATCTAATTCAGAGCAATTTTTGGGATGGAAAGGAAAGGCCAGGCTGTCCCCCCCTCCCCCCCACCATGACAGAGCAGGAATGAAGCCTTGGAGGCTTTGTCTAAGTGATTGCACAGCCTTGCCGCCCTTGGGGGGGATCTTTGGCCCGTTGAGTTGTGAAGAGCCCTTGGTAGAAGTTCCACCTTCTGGTTTCTCTCTCCTCTCTCTGCCTGTCCCTTCTTCTTGCTCTCTTTTCTCTCCTCTCGCTTCCTCAGGCCTTTTAATCCACGGGCTATCTACCTCCTTGCTCTTGAGTTGGACGGGCAGATGGGGCTGGGTTGCGTGGGGTTCCTCCATCTTCCTTCCAAAAGCTGGGTTTGGCCTGGGACAGGGGAAAGGAAGAAAACTGGTTGTGATTATTTGGAGTGTGTGTGTGCATGCATAGGGGAAAGGACTTTTATTTGTTAAGGTAATTTTTGGGAAGTGAAGAGAAGCACATATGCGCACACTCTCAAGCCAGCCGTGGGTCTGAACAGTCTGCCTTTAATTGGAACCATCTCACCATGTTTTCTTCTCGTTGCTCTTGTAGATCTTCTAGGGGACCAGAAGTGTTCAAAATGGACAGCTTCCTGCTTTCGAGGGGGAAAACCCTGTGCAGTGTGAGATGCTAGTTTGCCTAAGCATGTTTACATTGAAGTAAGTCCCATTTATTTCACTAAGACTTACTTTCAGGTAAGTATGCTTAGGGAAATGTTTTAAGCTCTTGATTGCCCCCTTCCCAACGTGGCTGCCTCCCCCCCTCCTCCCTTCTCAGGGTGACTAGACAGGAAATTCTGAATAATGCAATATTTTTCTCGGTCTCAAGCTAAGCAAGGAAGTGTTCTGACTCGTTTGTGCTTGGAAGTTTTAAGGATTTTTTTTTTTTTTTGGCAGTTAAAACTTTTATCTCTCTTGGAAGCCGTTCTTATTATGCCTTGATTCCCCCTCCCCCCTTTTTTTCTTTTGGTGGGAGATGGATGGCAAATATTGGAGATCAGAGGTGGGAGGAAGGAAGTCTCATCAGGAGGAGGAAGACCTATTGCTTCAAATGGTTGCAAAATTTGAACAAGTACCTGGGAACAACAGGTTGTGGTGTGGTAGTGAAATGATCCACAACAATCTTGTATCAACTTTCTGTCCCTTTCTGCCTCCTTTATTTAATAGTGCACAAGATGATTTCAGCTACCCTCTGGGTGGAGCAGAATGAGGACTTTGTAGTCACGTTCTCCAATATGTTCCAGAATACCTTTTCTCTCAAACAGTTGCCAACCGGTTGGGGAGGTGGTACTTTTGGACACATAAGGCATAAAGAATGGCATTCTGTTGACATTGCCAGCTGTTGCAACATTTGGGTGTCTGTGTTTTATGAAGGGCTTGCCTCACTAGTCTTCTTGGCTTCTCCACATCATACTTGTTTTGGCTGTCTTGGGCAGTAAGTGAGCAGTCGCTTTGGCAAGGGGAATCCTGAAGCTGTGTAGCGATTAAAGCGTGGCGGGGACTTTTGGCATTGGCCCTGGAAGGCAGAAGGATTCTCGATGAAGGTGGAGGAAGGCCCTACAGGAAAGGGGATGTTGCAAGGGATAGGAAGATGCGTCCAGCCGTTCTCAGGTTTCCAGTTAACTGTGGTTTTGTGTGGGACTTTGTAGGCCTTTGGGAATCCTCCTTGCCTTTGTCCATGGTCTGCATGTAGAGGCTGCTCTCACTGGAGGAAGAGCAGAATTTTCCACAGTGGGAAGTTAACCTCTCCTTGATTTGTTTCCACCAGGTTTTTGGGTCAGTTGACTCATACTTGCCAAGATAAGATTAAATAAGAACCAAGGGACACGACACAGACTTTATGAAAGATGCCACCTTGGGGTGTTTATAATCTTTGATAAGAGGGCTTCTTTATTGGGTATTGTGGATTCCCCATCCCACGAGTTGGGAGAAGAGACAAGAAGAACAAACAAAGCCATGTCATGCTGTCCAGTTGTTCCAGGGGTGCCTTTTTCTTGCCCTTTCGAGATCCTTATGCACCTGGCTGCTCCCATTTTGGCTCTGGCGCCTTTGCTCTCCAAAGACCTGACTCAGAATTTGCTTGGAAGCAAGCAGTGTAAGTTCCTTTTTAAAAAAAAATGTTCAAGACCATTTCCTTTACACTCCTCATTTCCAAATGGCAGGAGAGAGAGGAACATAACATTTCCTTTGCCCAGCTACCCTAAAACAAAGAACCTCTTCCAACGAGGCTCATCAATATTGGCTTTAAGGAGCATATAATATCTCCTCGCCTACTTGGGAGTCTGTGTCATGTGTCTTACTAATGGTGGTTTGGCTTCTGATACTCCACCTTTGTATAGACTCTCTAGTGACTGAACATTATTAATCACTCTGCTGTAGGCTGGAGAATGGAGACAGACAGCTGCAGGAAAAGGGGAGGAAAAAAAAAGAGTGCAGAGGCTTTTATTCTGAAACAACCTTGGCTTGGCTGTTGGCTTTTGTTGGACCTGCTGCTAAGCAGACATTTCTTTGCTGGGAGGGTTGGGTATAAGATTTCTCTGCCAATCAGAAGCCGATAGATTGGGGCATGGTGGAGTGTGAGCAAAAGGGAAGTTTGTCTTGCATTTAAGTGGGGCGGTGGAAGGGGGGGGGATGGAGGTACTGCTAGAGTTGCTGGAAGCACGTTGATGCTGGAAAAGGTTGGGTGGTCATTGCAAAAGGCTACTGGTTGGCGTGCATGGGAGTCCATGGTGTTTGTAGAGTTCTTCATGGTTCTGTTTTGTGTGTATAACCTTCAGGCTGCAGTTCATGTTTGTGCTGGATCAAGAAGGGAGAGTGTATCCTTGGCATTTTCATGGAGTTGAAGCAAGGTGATTGGCTCCCCGCGTCGGTTCTGAATACTTAAAAACTTGTCAGGAGCAGTTGGTGGATGGGCTGTCTTTCTCCCCGCAAGACAAAGAGGCAATGTGGCAACTTCTACCCTTGCTGTTGAGTTTTGGTGCTTGCTGAGATAGTTGAAGAGGGAAGAAAAACACAGAGGGTTTTGGAGGAATAATGATCCCTAAATGCATGGCAGAAGAAAAATGATTGAGTAGGATGGGCTTTGGGTGTTAGAAATAAATCCTAACAGTTAAAGCAGGTCAACAGTGAACCAGTTACTCAGAGAACTGGTGGGCTCCCTTTTGTTGGAGGGCTAACCAGCCATCTGTTGTAGATGCTTTATTTTGGATTCCTGCGTTGAGCTTACCCAATCTAAGTCTGGCATTCTGTGATTCTTTGACTTGTCTTGCATTATGGTAGTGCACAGGAACAAGAGCTGTCTTGTATATAGTGGAATACCTGTGAAAGCATCAATGGCTTGTTTCTGTGATGTAAATTAGACCAGGAAATCTTGAACCAGGGTTTTCTAGTCTTGAGGGCCCAAGGTGTAGGGTATTTAGAACATGTCTGATTGAAAAAAATCTCTCTCAAAAAGAAGAAAAAATGTCAGGCACGTGACACTTCAGAAACGTGAAATCCTTCTCCATCCTCAAGTTCAGACTTGACTTTACATAGAAGGGGCTACTTGGTTTCAAAGATTTTTGAAAGGTTTTTGAGTCCCGCCTTCACATCTGCTATCTGAAATTTATAGCTGATAGATTTATTTACAAACTATATAACCCCTGAGGACAAAATGGGTCCATTTTTATGATGTAGCTAGCCAGGCTTTAAAAAAAAACACACAACAAAAAACGCTTGTTCTTTGTTCACATAAACTCAAAACAGTATTTTGGAAATGCTGGTGTTGAGTGGTGTTAGTTTTGTTGAAAATTTCTTCTTGGTTTAACCAAGGGAACGCATGAACTTAATTCTGGTTTTAGGTGACAGAACCTTGCTTCATAATCGGTGAGGCACGATGGTTCTGCTTTATTCAGAGTTGGATCTTTTACTCCCACTACCTTAAATTCATGACCTTATCTACATATGTATGGGTTTTTTAGAATGAATTGGCATACACATTTCTCTCTTTGCTGCTGCTTGTCCCACGGGATATGATTGTATATGCTATGGATTGACAAAAAAACATGTGCTAAGTAGCAGGTTCGGATTTTAGAGTTCCTGTAATCCTGAATATTGCTTTGAGACAAATCTGTACTCTATCCAGGGGTATAGGACTGCATGTTAGCCTTCTCCACTAGATTTCTGTGTCCAGACATAAGGACAAGGAAGCAGGGTTGGAAAAAAATAGCATCTGATTCAATCCTTGAGACTAAGCTGCTTCCAGATGTATCTAAAATAATACAAGGGCAACCAGTATGAACTGGGCAAGACAAGCTTTTTTGGCAAGACTGGGTAAAAGGAACCTATCAGGACCAAATGCAGTCATTCAGTTCTTTAAACTATACAGTGTGCATACTCAGTGTCATGCATCCTCTTTGGTCTTTACAATCCCCAGATTTAGCAGTTACAGCTGGTAGAGGTGGTTCTTTCTTTCCAAATTAGAGCATTTAGTCTTATTCTAAATTTGAAACCTATGGAAAAACGGTTGCGGCACACCTGGGGGAGGGAAAAAATGAAGATTTAGTTACCAGTGTAAAAATGTGCTTTCCTGAACACTGAATAATGCACATTTTGCCTGAACTGTGGAAGTGGTTTGTTCCCACGTCCTACTTTTATTACTCTTCATAGAGAGAGACATATATGTTCTATTGATGCTCCCATTTGATGGCACATGTTTGAATTGAACTTCATGGCAAACAATTGGTTTTGGAAGTATGCGATACACACCTTCTAATTCCAATGCGTTATTGTGCTATAAGCCTTTGTTTCTTGATGTGACATTGCATGAAACTACAGGAATTGATTTCAGAATTGAACCTGACTCAAAACTCTCTTAGAAACGCCTTTAAAAAGATGCTGTATTATTTGATAACACATCATTCTATACTTGGAATGTTAAGTTTAAATTCTATGGGGTTATTTGTTTTTTAAAAGCAGAAGTAGTGTGGACTGTCAAAGGAGTGAGGGTGATTTAGAAGGGCATTGAGATATTTGTGTTTTATTGAGTTTCACATTTGAATGTGTTGGTCAGCTTGAATACCCCTTGGTCACCCCAGGGGTGACTCATAATTATAAGAAATAAATAATAAACTCTTTGTGACGTGTTTTCTGTTAGTGGTGCTGGGGAAAATGTGATGATCTTAATGGTATTTAAACCATTGCTTCAGGATTTTTTGTAATTCCCCCACTCCAACCTTTTCTTTTGACAAGAGATTTCCATGAGTTCTTAGGCCTGGCATGTGGTGATTTAAATCTGGATCCCAAAAACATGGTTTGGAAATGAGCTGTCTGAAAATATAAAGCTGGCATATACTGGGTTAGAGAACTGGCATGCCCTGTGTTTCCGGTGTCGCCCAGATCTCTCTTACATCCCAGTATGGCATTAGCTTTCATAAGCTAGAGCCTACCAGAATCCATCAAGCATACATCTCAATACAGCTAATTGATTTTAAGATGTTGCAGGCTCAGGGTTGAACAACCTTGTGAATTTAACGAATTTGCCTTTCCAAATAACACCGTACCATGGAGTAGGACAAAGCAATGGCTTGGTTAAGGCCATGAAATGGACATTTAATTGGGGGGTTTGAATCCCTATTCATATATTCCAAAGAGGCACATAGTTTGGCCTCCTGCTCCCATTTTCAACAGTTCCTGATGGCCTAGCCAAAAAGATAAGACAACAGAGGAGTAGCCTGTTCTAGCCCCATCTTTCTAGCTGCCATGAAACTCTTGGATGGTTCCTCATAGCGTTTAGTTGGCAATATATATATTTTAGTCATGAATCATAGGTCTGGCCTGAGGATTAAAATACATCTTATTCAGCAGCGTGTCTTGCCAGTTCATAAACATATACAAACCCTGCTTTTCTTCTCCTTCTCCCATTTAGCAAGCTCTGATGAGTAAGGGAGAGACCAGAAGAGATAGCTGCATGAAGACGGAGCTGTTGAAAGACATCACCAACAATAAGGAAGAAGGTGAGTGCATCTTTTAAGTCCGGGTTGTCATCTTCCTTTTTTGCATATGGAGAACTATGAACCTTGGCCCTCGCTGTTGGATTGCTACAGATTCTCTACCTCCAGTTAAGAGGTTGCCAGCATAAGCCTAACCATAACTCATTTGAAAAGGTTGTAAAAGGTGAGTTGTATTCCCTTCCAGGTCTTTAAAAGTACAGGTTGTGTATAAATGTAAGCTCCCTCCTTGGTGTTCTTCTGATTTGGATCCAATGCTAGGTGTGGCCCATACGGAAAAATGTAGCAAAAACCTCCTTGCTCTAGATCCGAGATGATTGACCTCTCCGTTTTTGGTCAGCTGCCAGTCACTTAGAACTACATGAGAATATAATTGTCCCAAGAGCAAGGTTCCTAATCACTTTTGTAGTGGTAAAAATTTAACTCATTGAACAGCATGATTCTTTGCTGGGTTTCTTTGTAGGTATCTGCTACATGTTGTAGGTGCAGGAACCAAGACATCCTGTTTCTTAAAGCATGGATAGGGGCTTACATGATGTGTGAACCAGACCATTACAGCTCCATCAAACATTGGGTTAGGGCTGTACGTCAGCCTGGATTGATTTTTGCAACAATGGACCATCTCTCCCCCTTCCCTTTTCCCTTATTAGTGAAATGCTTTTCAAATGTTTCCCTATACGTGATACAGTGAACTCGCTTTGGCACTGCGAACCCTTGCCTTGGAAGTTTGGGAAGCCTTCTTCTTGGCCTTTCCCCCATCTTCTCATTTCTCTTTCTCTAGGATTTAATGCTATGGCAGCTGGTGATGGTGCCATAGACAAGCAAGTTGGGGAACTGAAGATGGCTCCCGACGGCGAGACCAATGGCTCCTGTGAGTGCAATGAATTCAAGGGCCACCCCGGTGTAGCCAAGAACACTCAGGACAATGCAAAAGTGAGCCAAGGGGACGCCGTGGCAAAACTGAACAGGATAGCTGAAAACGGCTTTTCCGAGAGAGACGGGGATGCTGGGAAGCCAAACCACCTCAAAGCAAATGACTTCACCCAGACCACGGTTACGGGGAGCAATGGGTACATTTTGCCCAAGCAGATGGCTCAGGACCTTTCAGTCAGGACTTCTAGCAGCGCTTTTGGCTCCCTCCCTGGCCACGCCGCCAAGACGCTTCCCACGGGAGGAAGCAAGGGGAGAACTCTGAGCCCTTTTACCCAGGCGCAGGCCGCTCTCCCAGCCAAGCTTGGGGACGGGGGCGGCAAAGACACGGAGGCTAGAAAAACAGCCAGTATCAAGGTCCACCGAGCTCGGAAGACGATGCCCAAGTCTCCCTCCCACCTGGTAATGTATACGAAAAGTGCCCACTAAGATGCCCTTGTGGTTCTTTTCTGGTGCGTGTGCATCTGTGTGTGTGTGGCAGCTGGTTGCACATGCAAGGCAGGGTGTGTTACATGTTCTCCTGCCTCCGTGTTCCTTTTCTAATGCCTGTCCAAATCAGGTTGCTTTCCAGGAGTCCACATTCATTACCAAGAGCTATATTTGAAGCATTCCCAGTCCTGAGATTTGTCTGCATTTTTTTCCTCCCCCTTAAAAGCTGATTGAGGGAATAATCTTCCTTAGGTGCAATTTGACACTAAATGTTCCTTTCTCCGTTTTGAACAGTTGCCCGTTTGTGCTCATTGTTGGTTATTGCTGGAGCTTACAGCTTGTTCGTCAAGTTCAAAGAGAGATTTACAGAGCTCCTCTCCTACTCAGGAGCAGAATAAACTTTGAACTTCTCCTGTAAAGTAGCACATAGTATTCAGCTTACTACTGGGCCCTTCCAGGCTGTCTCTTCAGTTGTTTTCATCTGGAGAGCTTCACTTCTCATGCTGTCCACCACCTGTCGGTTTACAAAGATCTCAGAGTAATTCAAAACTTGGCATATTATCTCTTTTTCTGCAGTGGGTCTCTCCCTCCTTCTTACTTGGGAGGCAGGGTTAGAAGGACTTCTGACTTCAATTCCTGGGGCAGGAAGTAGTTCTCTTCCCCAATCCCTGTATTTTCCATGTTCTTTTGGTGCTCAGCTTCTTCCATGTGATGGAATGATGAATTTGATGGCCTTTCTTTTGTCATCTCATCCTTTTCTTTGGAATGGGGAGATCCAGGTCACTGGGTCATCCAAACGAAACCCAGGACTAATTTTTTTTCCCCTGAACTCCCATGCTTGAAATAGGGCCAGAATTGCAGCCAGCAGTAGGTTCTGTTTTTATAACTAAGGAAAGGCAGAAAGCCAAATTCCTGATAGCTTTCAACAGATCTTTTTCCTCAATCTCAGAATTTCTTGCTGCTTGCCAATCACAGAGAGGCTTTTCGTTTGTTGTCCACAAGCAATCCCAGGAGTTTAGTTTGATCTCAGCCTGAAGTGAGCAAGATTTTTGATTCAGTCCTTCTTGATCATCTTGGGCCAGAGCTTAAACTTAAGTCATTAGGAAGTGTGTTAAAACATTTCGGCCATGGGGTTCGGCAGTGATCTCTGGATCATTTGCAACAGATCAGCCAGGGATTCTGACTCCCAACAGTTTGAAAAAAATGGCAAGGGGTTATTTTGAATAGGTATTTCTATCTCAGCTTTGTGCTAATAGCTTCTTTTTCGGCTTCCAGCGTGTCCTGCCTGTAAGCTCCGAGTATTGATTGCTTGCCCTTTTCTGCAAAGCTGTAGGCTAGGTGTAAAGTCTTCCCACTGGAATCAGTCTGGGGGTATCCAATGATGCATGGTGGAAAATTTCCCAGGATTGCACTTTCCTGGTTAAAAAACCTCAAAGAAATGGCTCCCCAAGCCCCACTTTTACAAACAGTTTTGCCCAAGAACCACCCTAGGTTGGAAGAATGATGAGGTTCGTCTTATCTCCTCCTTTAGTATCCTGTCAATCAGGACACAGGTGAAAGGGCACTATTTTTCCTCTGTGTTTCACTTTAACTCCTGCAGAGCATGGCTTTAAAAACAAACAACAATACTTAAACCAGCGATAGGTTGTTTGAAGTGGAGCTTTGCATGGGATGATCCAAGAGTTAGCCCTTTTGGAATTCCCCATTTTTGGATGAACCCTTAAGATGATGCTTACTACCGTTAGCTGTAGAATTGCAAGAATTAAGTTTTTTGTCTATGGAGGTGGAAGATGCTCTTATTAATAACCCAAGGCATGAACACCGTGCAGGTCACATTGGGGAAACAGAACATCTGCAATAGTAATACAGTTTTAAAGATAACATGACTTATTGATGGTTATTCCTAGAAGGCACAGATATTTATACTTCAGGCATTCTGAAATGTATATATCCAGGCATTCTGATATGCATTTTGGAGGTTTTGAGGTCTGAATTTTTGCTTTTTAAAAATCTAAATAATGCAAGGGAAATGAGAACTATTGAGTTGCTGTTCCTTAAGATACTTGCTGATCATTCCAGTAAGAATAATGTCCAGGTAAAGCTTTGAACGTATTGGAAATGCACCATAACATTTAAAACACAATACGTTCTCTTCCCCCTTATCAAATATCGCAAAGATTTCAGCTTAACCGCTCTTGGTTATTGGAAAACCTTTTTAGTTATTTACAACAGATAAAATTAGCAAGCCATATGTTTTATTAAAAATCCTCAAAAGTTAAAGAACGCTATCAGTCTATTTTCCATCAGCATAGCACAACTGGATGACTATGACCTAGGTCTAACATCATGTGAAAATGTTTCTCCTGGTGTAGCTTGAGTTTTGGGGGATTGGGGTGGATCCTACAAAAAGCTTTCTAGTAAACTCACGTCCCTAGAGGTGGTTTGAAGAGAAGTATTTATGTATATACATACACACACACACACACACACACACACACACACACACACACACACACACAC